CAGCCTCGAGGTCAGGCTTATGTTCACTTTCTTTCTCTTCCACCTTCACTGGTCTGGATAACATTTCACTGCTAAATGACTCTGACGCATGAAAACCAGCAATGTCAGTAAAGATCTTACAAAATAGGAGGGAAAGAGACAATATTATTCATAGCTGAGGAGTTTAAAATAGCAGCATACTTTTGCTCATAACACCAGCAAGGTGCTGAAATCCATCTGCAAAAATAGGATGACCGTCAGAAAGAAGAAGATTGATACTATGTGAACTATTAAAATGGCAATAGGTATTTTGAGTACCAATACTCTCACACCGCTCGAAGAACTGGTTGAACTCATCCATTAAATCAGGAAATTTCCCAAGAAGATCAGACACCTGAGAGAAAATGAATGGGATTTAATACAATTTCCCGAACGTTACCACAAGATAAACCCCTGATCACAAATTGCAATACCAAATTTTGCAGATCATTCCTTTGGATTATTCCATTGCTAAAAATATTGAGGCACTTCAAGAATGTCTGATAATCATCTTGGCTGCATAGTCGCTCCTTGACTTTCTCACAGAAAACGAATGCTTGGTTGTACATACCTAACACAAAAGAAAGTAAACATCTTAGCAGATTCTTCGCACAGTAAAAATCACCAGGCAACCAAGATTGATTAATAAATTCTCTCTTGAAGAGAAAGAATTAAGGTGTCCACTGTTTGGGACCCTAGAATTAAGAAAATAGACCAGGCAAATAAAAAATATGTTTGACAGGAATTAGCTTACTTTTCAAATTGTCTTTCTCAGACTGTGAAGCAGAACCAGAATATATTTCAAGACCTTCAGCTCTTCTGGACGACTTCCTTTTTTCTGGAAAATGGTGTAGGTTATCTTGCTCTGCTTCTCTATCGTCCAAATCACGGCCCCTCCTTGCCCTATCCTCCTTCTCAAGACGCTTCCGCTGCTCTCTTTGCATCTTCACCATCGTTTTATCATCATTAAGGTCATAACGTTCAACATTATAATCCCCGCGGGAAGCAACAGCCCTTTCTCGTCGGCGTTCCTGGTGATAAAAAGATGTAGCGGGCACAAAACTGAGATACCTGACCAAAAATAGAACAAGAAAAATTATAAAACATATATTATACCTTTTCCACTTGCATTTGATGAATTAGAGGATGGCCTGATCCTCGGTCGTTGTACCGTTGAGCCTGACTCCGGCTATGCTGCGCTGCTGAATGAGATGGCAAAGACGCTGGCAGAAACCTAGTAAACTCTTCAAGCAAATCCAAGTGGCCTTCAAAAAGAATAGATACCTGGAGCATAGATATTCGAAGGTTAGAAAATGTTGGAAAAAGTTTGGAGTGGCATTACAGGTGAGATGAAGTATATATTACCTCGTTGTACACCTCACTAATTTCCTTGTTCTCCTTGCGGTACATATTCAAGATTTCCAAGAAAGATTTATAGACATGTTCATCGTGCTTGAATCGCTTCTGCAGTGACAAAAAAGAAACTTGTACATTGAGACACTAGATGTAAGGGCACTTCCTAAGAGAAAGATAATACCAAAGCACCTTAATTTTATTGACAAAATTGATGGCTTCTTCGAATTCAACAGTCTTCTTTGGCAGAGCATGGTCTTCCTCAATAAGCGTTATTTCATATCCCTTAGGCAAAAAGGTGTTGAATCCATATATCAAATTATTATGTCCCTTAAACAATTCCTTAACTCTTGCAATGACACCGCCTGTGTCGGTTCTGAAAATGCAAGAGGAAGGATTAATTCAATGCCGCCAACTAAAACTTACTACCTCAACACTTAAAAAAATTTCAAGTCGAAAGAGAGTCAAAGACCTAACCTTTGAGCCTTAAAATCTTTCATAACCTCGAGGAACCTGTCATATTTCTCCCGTTGATCTTGAAACATCTCTTTTACTTCCCTCAGGTACGACAACGCATCATTGGTTGTCAATTTCTGAGAACTAATAATTTCCCCACCAGCCATTCTCCCTCCTCCTTCGGTGTCACCAATGCCGGGGACCGGAGATTGTCCATGTCTGCACCAAATCATCTCTAATCAATTAGTTAAACTAGTCAATTCACTAACAAATTTTGTTCACTCTCCATGCAAAATTATAGAAAACCTAATCGCCTCAAAACAGAACCAAGATCAACCAATTGCATCAGCCAGAATATTGAAAAAAAAATTCGAAATTTGAAGAGAGACCAAAGAGAATCTCACAATTGGCCTCGAGAAGAAGCCAGAGGGCGTCTAAATTGAGACCCAGAGGCATAGACATCATCTCTTATCCGCTTCATCTCTACAAAAAAAATATATATATCAAATTTAAAATAAATACAATCATATCTAATCAAAAATTTATCGAAATCACAAGTTAATTAACGTAGCAGAGGATCAAAATTCCCCCACCTGTGAAGCGTATGTATGAGACCTACTTTCAAGCACTCTAGATTTTCCCGAGAAACCAAGTGTAGTATATGAAATCAGACACTCAGATCTCTGAAACGAGAAAAGAAAGCGCTTTGATCATCGGCAATCATACATAGACAGAGGAAAATTCCGGCGAAACTTCAAATTCTCCGGTTTAACACACTAGACTGAAGATGAATTGCGATGATAGGAGACGAGAATTAGAACGCAGAGTCGAAAACGAATGAAGAAGACGGAGAATTTCAGAGGAGTTTGCAACAATTAAAGACGCTCAGAATTTTCGAATAAGGCGGAGAGAGATTTTGCATTCTTGGGGTTCGACGTTTCACTTTTTCTGTGTTTTGCGGCCAACTTACTTGGTAAATTGGTAAATTGTTCTTTATTCTACTTAAATTTGGGCCGACAAATCAAATATTTATTGGGCCTTTTTAAACATTAGGCCCATTTCTTAAGAACTCTGTTTGGTGACATATTCGGAAAAAGTGTTATCACAAGAAGAAAATTGTGATGAATTTCTTTACGTAACAAGAAAATATATATGTACAGATTTGTTGTGTCAAGCATTGAACAAAATTATGCACGAGCTGAAGAACCGATACATTGTCGGAAAAGTGATGATAAACCACAACCGGGTTTGTTTCGTGTAGAAGATGAAATGTCTGGTCCTCGACGTATTTCAGAAAAGTATGGAGGTGGTGATGAAGAGGACGACGACGAAGAACTTGATTTCCCTGATGGAATTTTTTCTTCAAGATCGTTACTATTTCTTCCGGATTGTTGACATGCTTGTTCTTGGTTTTGAAGAATGGCTCCATTTTTTTGATCTAAGATGGATTGATCACTCCAAATACGACCTGAAGAACCTTGGCGCCGGAACGAAACAGCTGATCTTTGTAGCGATGTCATTACTTAGTTTAGAAAACTTGTTAAGAATATCTCTCCTTTGTGTTTCTTTGCGTATGTATGAAGCTATTGAAAAGTGTTTCAACTTTTTTGGAGTTTCAAGTGTTTGTTTAAAGATAAAATGGACAGAATTAGTTGAGTTTGAAATTAGATTTTATCCGGTTTTGGATTTACTACAAAACATGCTAAATTAAGATAAAAGTTTATATCTACTCCACAAAAAAAAGGATATTAATTTTGATCTTGTCTTCCATTAAAATAGGATCCAAGGACTCCAAGCCTTAAATAGATTTTTTTTACAAAGTATTTGTTCAAGTTTTTTTTTTTTTTGGTTTTTCTTAAATCAAACCAAATATGACAAGTTGCAAAATTTCAGTGAAGCCCATATAAGCTAATTGAGTGTTGGTTTAGCCGTTTAGGGTTTTAATGGGTCAAAGAGGTTTTTTAATATTGGGCCTTATGAAAGCCCACATGCGACCCATAATCGCTAGGGTTTCCTCGTAAAACCTGAGAATCGCCGTCATTGGGGACCTTTATATTCAAACCACACATGACCTTGGGAGAGACATTAGCTCTTATCGACGACACAACTCAATTTAGTGGTCTCTGTTCAATTGTCATCTTTTTCTGTAGAGTTTTTGAATTTGATGTTTTGTTCTGTTTAGATAATGCAAATTTAAGATCAGTTGATGAGGTAATACTGCAACAATATGATGGAGAAATCTTTGTGATTCTTAGTATTTAAGTCTCTGATGATCTAAATCGTTTTCAACTATCGTCTTCTTCGATCTAGTTTTCAAATACCTTTTTTTGATTTGCTTTATCTTGTGTTTTATTCGATCTGTTTTGTTGAGTGATTGAAGGATAAGAGTCAAGAGATATGATGATTAACAAATTGGTCCGTGTTTCAGATTAACCGTGACCGAAAAAATTCTTAACCAAACTCTGATCTCTTACTTATCTTTCTCACAAATTGATTTTTTTTTCTCAAATTTCGTTTGGGTATGTTGGTTCTTCTGCGGTGATGATTTTATGAATAATTCACATGTCAGACTTCAGAGATTCTTGTAATCTATGAGAATAAATTCATATGTCTGAGCATAGAAGACTAATGTGTTTTGAAAAGATTCGAGCAATGAAGCTGAACACTTTATATCATAGGACGATTTCAGATTTGTTTGCTAATTATGTTTAATTCATCATATTGTTGTCTAACTTCTCTATTCTCCAAGGAGCTGAATCTAGAGAATTTGACGCTAGAATTGGGGCAATAAGTAAAACTTCATACAAACTATAAAGGATTCACAGAGATGGAATCATAGAACCTAATAGAACCCTGTTCTATATCAGAGGACAAGTTCAATTATTGAACAAATAGAATGAAATTATGTTCAACTAGTGGAATGAAATTTAGAATTTAGAAATCCTCTTTGGATTACTCGAACAATTCAGAAATCTGGTCTCATAATCTGAACTAACATAATTTCATTGTTTCAACAAACTATTGACATGGATCAAAGAAGTAACCAACTATTAACAGAAAAAACTCAGGTCGAGAAACCTTCATATTATCCTACGTGGCATGACTATCATCAAGAATAACTTTTAGATCCCCTTTTGTCTCCTAACTCTTAATTTCTTTAGAAAGAGTTTATCATTGTTCTCGTAGTCACGGATGGAGATATTTAGAAAGGCAGCGATTGTACGTCTCCGTAGCCATAACGACAAATACCTAAGCGCCGATGAAGATCAAGAATCCGTTCATCAAGATCGTCGCGGTACAACTAAAAACACCAGATGGACGGTTGAGATCGTACCTGGATCCAATGTGATCCGTCTCCAAAGTTGTTACGGCAAATACCTTACCGCCACTAATATTCATTTCCTCCTTGGAGCCACCGGTGAAAAGGTATTACTAGGGGATCTTGGGTTACAAGAAACTACCTCACATCAAATTAGGTTTCTTTTTAAGATTTCTTGAGAAACAAGGCATTTAAATCCGTTGATAACATTTATAAACAATTTGACACAAGAAATTTTGCCAAAGAGAAATTTCAAATGTTTAACAACAAAATAATCCATTGTTGTGACTAACAAACAAAAATACATAAACAGAATCTTTAAACGACACAATGTTTCTTGCTAAAGAAGCCATGTGTGTTTCATATTAAGATTGCTTGTGACATAAGGTACTTCAAACTCTACCGGGAAAGTTGGATTCATCTGCGGAATGGGAGCCGATATCAGATGATGGTATACACGTACGGTTCAAGAGTCGGTACGGACAATATCTAAGGGCGAACAAGGGAGTACCACCGTGGAGAAACTCTATCACACACGATATTCCTAGTCGTACGGTCACACAAGATTGGATCATGTGGAGTGTTGATGTTCTCCAAATTCGAGTTACCAAAGATGATGCAGAATCTACCCATAGTTCTTCCACGTTTTCACGGATTGAGGTATTATATACACTACACATACCAACACTATTCTTCTGAAAATAGTACGTACATGTTATAAACATTTATCGATGTTGCATACATGATCAGTCAGATTATTCATTTACTGTGAGTTTGCCACTGAAATCCGAAGGAAGACTAATATATTACGAGATCGGAGATGATTGTGGGAACATAAATAAGGAAAGAGGAGAAAAATCATTGATATTCCATGGAAGCGAGTTGATAGAACTAAAGAAGAGACTTGAGGAAGAAACAGAGATGGAAGAAGTTATGATCTGCTGTAGAAATCCTCTAAATGAAAAGCTTTGTCCTCTTCAATTGCATCTTCCTCCAAACAACGCAACTATGCACATCATCGTCTTTCCTTCTTCTTTCGGTACTAAACTTACCTCCTTCAAAATATTGTTAGCAATTATCTATGATTAAAATATTGCTTATAGCATTTCTACTTTCTTTCATTCGAGGATTTCGATTTCCAATAAGATGTTAGGTATATTCGAGACATTGGGTGTCCAGAGTTCTTGTTTTTTCCGATTTCTTTTGTTCGCAACTCAAATGACATACGACACATATTTTTCTTGAAAGTCTCATTATTCGTCACGTCAGCACAAATTTTTAATCATCCCAAGTTTAACTATTCTAATAGTTTTTTTTTTTTTTTTTTTTTTTGCAGAGATTGACAATTGACAGTAATTGTATATCAATTACAAGTTTACAACCAACTTGGGAAGAAAAAAAAGATTATTTTGTTATTTCTTTACGAAGAAAGATATCATTGTGAAGCTAATGTCTTCTTCATATTCCAATATTGTAGTATATGATAGCAGTTGATAAGTACCTGTATAGTTGATTGATGTATTCGTTTTAACTTTTTCTTTTAACAAAATCTTCGAATGAAAGAAAATATGTTACCTAGAATTCAAATCGAAATCACACCTAACGAACTAGTTGGTAGTAGAATCTTATAATCTTGTTTAAAACTATAAAAATAAAGTCAGACAACCTGAAAATGACACCTAATGTGTTTTTGGTTGGAACCTTTTAACGTCTATGCAAAAACAAACTTTTTGGGAATAAGAAAAGTTGGAAAGCACCCAAAAAGCTAAATTACTCTGCATATTCGAGAACCCTACTAGATCTTATCCTTGCACATTTTTTTTTTCTGGTTTCATATTTATTTTTCTTAACCAAAATATAATAGCAAAACCTAATCATGACATTATATCTTTTAATGTATCATTGATGGACGACACAATGGACCATGTGATATTTTAGTTCATACTTCATAGTAGTATATCAATAATAAAGTTTTGATCATTATCATCATTATTATATTTGCTCGACCATAATAATTTAACGTCAAGTTGTGGGTCCAATTCGGTCCAAGGATGCTGACTAGAAATTACAATAAAAGCATTTTTTATAGTTTTTTCCTAAATAATTTTATTTAACGCAAACGGCCTGTGACGACTGAATTGTCCTCTCTCTCTCTCTCTCCCCGTGCTTCACCGCTGCTTTTAGATATTTTATATATATTTTTATTTCTTAATTCTTTCGGATTTTTTTTTCCTTCTTCTCAAGCAAGGGCTTTATTATCCCTATTGCTCTGCCTTGTGAGCTGTGATCACCATTGTTTTACTGGTAAGTCTCTCATCGTCTTCTCTGCGAGGTCTTCTTACTGTTCTCTTATGCCCGATTTGTCCGTGTTTCTTCGAAAGAGCTGATCATATCATCATCGTTGGAAACTGACGAGATTTAGTCATTTTAGTGTATGTCGGCGAATGATTTTAGTTTGATTTTGTGAATCTGTGAGTTTAGAGAGAAGACTACGACGTCGTTAAAAGGTTAAGAGAAGAATGGAGATGGAAGAAGGAACAAGTGTGGTTGGTGAGAAGATAAAGATTGGAGTCTGCGTCATGGAAAAGAAGGTGAAATGCGGCTCCGAGGTTCTGTTTCTCTTTTTTTGTTTGTTTGCTGCTCGTATTTCGCGTTTTCTACTGACCAACAGATTCGGAATTGCTTTTTGTTTTTCGTTTTGAGCTCTCTTAATCCTGTACCACGGCTCCATGATGACCGGTTAGTCTTTTTTCACTATGTGTTCTCGCTCGCTCATAGATGTTTTGTTCCTTGTGGGTTTATTATAGGTATTCTCAGCTCCCATGGGGGAAATTCTCGACAGACTCGAGTCTTTTGGTGAATTTGAGGTACCTTTATTTACTTGTTTCTGTTTTTTGATTGAAGATCAATTTGATACTCTCTGGTTTGTATTCTTATACTTGTTTTTTTTTTTCTTTAGAGAGAGATTGTTTTTTGATTGAATGACCTGTATTTTTGTGATTCTTTGGCGAATGTTATTGGAAGATGCTTCTGAGTTCTGAGTAACTTTTTGCATTAGTTGCTAAAAAAAAGTTGTTGACTCTTTGTCTTTGTAGATTCTCTGTTGTATTCCATTTCCTCTTTTATTTATCATCTCATTGACACTTTTGTTGCAACTTTTACTTTATTCGCAGATCTTGCATTTTGGGGATAAAGTTATACTTGAAGATCCAATAGAAAGGTATGGTGTACCAAATAGAGCTCACTTTTGGCTTTAACTCATGTTATGAATGATTCTTTATTACTGTATTACTTAAAGTGTAGTTGAATATTTATCAAGTACAAAGTATATACTGGAATCAAAACTTTACCAGAAGGTTTACTGTTTCAGTTGGCCCATTTGTGATTGCTTGATTGCTTTTCATTCCTCTGGATATCCTCTTGAGAAGGCTCAGGCATATGCTGCTTTAAGAAAGTGAGTTTTACCTTTTATCTCTCACTCTTGGCTCAATAAACAACAGCATATCTTACATTAGTTTTGGGTGAAAATTAATTGAGTTTGGCTATTGAGGTCTGATGTTTCAAACTTCTATTATTTCAGGCCATTTTTAGTGAATGAACTAGATCCGCAGTATCTTCTTCATGATCGCCGGAAGGTGTATGAGGTAAGCATTTTAGACTCAAGATAGTTGTTTCTGTTCACATTTTGGATAATTCTTCAAAGTGTTTCACCGTTAGTGGCAAAGAAGAGCTACCTACTTTTTCCTTTTACTAATAAAAACAACTACTTATGTGCATCTACAGCATCTTGAGATGTATGGCATCCCAGTTCCTAGGTATGCTTGTGTCAATAGAAAGGTACCAAATCAAGACCTTAATTATTTTGTCGAGGAAGAAGATTTTGTTGAGGTCAATGGTGAACGCTTCTGGAAGCCATTTGTGGAAAAGCCTGTCAATGGTGAGCTTGCCTATGGCTATCCTCCTTGTTTTATTTATCTTCTGATTTGCAGATTTTTTTAATTATCTTCTGACATTCTTTATGCGTTTATAGGAGATGACCATAGTATAATGATATACTACCCTAGCTCGGCAGGTGGAGGCATGAAAGAATTGTTTCGCAAGGTACTGCATCTTTCTGCAGAACTTATCTGCTCTGGATCGAACTGGTTACTCTTACATTTTCGTAATTCTAATCAACTCCTTTTCTGCCTCATATATTTCGCTTGTCACCATTTTCTTCAGATTGGGAACCGTTCAAGTGAATTTCATCCTGACGTCAGAAGGGTAAGGAGAGAAGGCTCTTATATATACGAGGAGTTTATGGCCACCGGAGGAACTGATGTCAAGGTTGTGTGATCGTTTGCTATCTACACGTTTTTCTGGTTGTTTTTGTCTGATGAACATGAGTTCTCAACTGACAATCTTCCTACTAAACATAGGTCTACACAGTGGGTCCTGAATACGCACATGCTGAAGCCAGAAAGTCGCCTGTTGTTGATGGTGTTGTTATGAGGAATACAGATGGGAAGGAGGTACGTATTTCAATCATTTCCCAACAGTTCCTAATTTTTAATGAAGAAAAGGCTATTGTATCAAAGTCTGCTGATTATATGAAAGCATGAGTTGCTAGTATTTTCATGAAGGTTTAAAATGTTGATGTTTAGATTTCGATCAGTAGTTTATTTTTGGTTAATATATTGAACAGGTGAGATATCCAGTATTGCTTACACCAGCTGAAAAGCAAATGGCTAGAGAAGTTTGCATCGCATTTAGGCAAGCGGTACGTTGTGAATCCAATCCTCTGGCTCTCATTACTTCTTGCAGGGCTGTGATCCCTTATATTGGTACTTTCTGATACCGAGCAACGGCTTAGTAATTTCTTCAACATTTTTCACATTTCCAGGTCTGTGGGTTTGATCTTCTACGATCTGAAGGCTGTTCATATGTGTGTGATGTCAATGGATGGAGTTTTGTGAAGAACTCATACAAGTAAGCTAGCATTCTGCATTTTTATTTTCTTTCTTAAAATCATAGTTCTATTAATAGGTTAAGTTTCTAGAATATATGCTGAGATGGTTTTTAGACTGGCATGTTTTGCCTCTTTCTTAAACTCTCAAAAAGTGCTTTTCAGTTTTAAAGTATTCACAAACCTCTTGTACTGTAAGGTATTACGACGATGCTGCGTGTGTGCTAAGGAAGATGTGTTTGGATGCAAAGGCTCCTCATCTTTCATCGACTCTTCCTCCCACCTTGCCATGGAAGGTCAATGAACCTGTACAACCTAATGAAGGACTAACTCGCCAGGGTAGTGGCATCATCGGCACTTTTGGGCAGTCAGAAGAGCTACGTTGTGTCATTGCTGTTATTCGACAGTATGTTCTAGCATATAGTCACCTGTTCCTTGTATCCTTATCTCGGTTTAGCCAGGATCTGAGAAGTATTCAACTTTGTTTTACATGTCAGTGGCGATAGAACTCCCAAACAGAAAGTGAAACTAAAAGTTACAGAGGAAAAACTATTAAACCTAATGTTGAAGTACAATGGTGGAAAGCCAAGAGCTGAGGTGAGAGGCTCAATTCTTTCTATCATCAAGTTCATCTTACCTTGATTAATTTGCTTATACTGTGTCATTTTCTCCCCTTTTGCAGACCAAACTTAAGAGTGCCGTCCAGTTGCAAGATCTATTAGATGCCACAAGAATGCTAGTTCCCCGTTCAAGGTAGAACCCCGAACTTTATTATTCGTGTCTTGTTACCAAAAACATGTCCTAAGAGTAACATTATTTGATTGAAGTAACTTAATTTCTTTTTGAGACATTCTGATGTTTCTGTAATGCATTTTCATGTAAGCTACTTTTACTGTAAATGCTGAGAGTCCTCATGTAAGCTAATATTCCTGCTCACCAAAGCTTTCGAAGGGGATTTTTTCTATCCCATTGAAGTTTTCTTAGACAAAAAGTAGTACAGTATGCTTCATTTACTACTGCTGTAAATCGTGTTTACAGTTGACATCTGGGGTAATAACCTTATGGTCTTCCTTTTTTTATCTGTAGACCAGGTCGTGAAAGTGATAGTGATGCAGAAGACCTTGAACATGCTGAGAAGCTTCGGCAAGTTAAAGCAGTTCTTGAAGAGGTTTCGTGTCTTGATATTTTTTTTACTTTCCCCTTTATATTGCTCTG